AAATTTCGCGAGAATGGCGTGACGTAAAACTCAGATTACATGGCAGTCGGCCGAGAAAAATAACTTCGTGACCATATAAGAAACGAAATAATTCCATAACAATCACGTGAGAGACAGTGAATGACATCTCCGGACAGCTGGAACGTGTTTATTGACAAGTCACGTGCATTTTTTTGAATTGAATCGGTATCCACGGACCAAGACACGTCCCTCGACAAGAATTTAACACCAGATGATAGCGATGTATACGGGGGGAGAGAGAAAGAACCTTTCCGGAAATACGAGTCACGTGGTAGAGAAATATAATTAAGTCGTAAAAGATGTGAGACGTCATAATAGACATTTGTATCACGATAATAGGGGCACTCACGTAATAATGTCACGTGTTAAGGAGCTGTTAAAAGGGTAATGTTACCCTGTAAATTCTAGATTTGAGGCACGTGACTTCGTATCGTTGACTAAATGATAAGTCTACAAGCAGTAAATTATGGCTGCTGCTTTCGGTGTTAAGCGCCAATTCGTCTTCTTTAAAAACGTGGAAGCTGTAAACTCGACACGCGGTCTGTAAAGTACTCCTCTGCAAAATATGTAGGCCTACTTATTCACGAGATTCTGTGATCTGGCTAATTTAAGGGGTGCCGAGGAATGGGATTCTTGTCGAAGAATTGGTTTACAATTTAAGATTCAAAAATTTGAGGCCGATTTTAGGAATAGCATTGTGTACCTTCGTCTAGACTCTAGACCAAACCCACCCGTGACAATCCATAATTTTTGCCTTGCAGATTGTAAAAGTACATCTGTGGGCAGTGTTTAATTATACATTGTCACCAATATAAGGCCCTAAAAGTTGACACCGATCAGTCTCGACAGATTAGGAAACACGAGACGGGGTGGCCGCCCAATTCGGCTGGTATATGCATTACACATGTCTGCTTCTACTCGGATGGAGCAACCCGAAGAGGGGCAAAGGGCTTCGAGTTCTGTTAAATGCTACTGTATCTGTACCAAAGACCCTTAGAAGGCGGTGGATCAAAGATAAGTATCCGTAGCTGGATCAAATAAAGATTTGTCGAACATGTGGTCGGGCGCGGAAGGACCACACCTTTTTCCCTAACCTTGCAAAGGTCAATCACATCTAAGGGCTTGATAACGATGACATTTTTAAAATGTCCCTGGCCTAAATTTGTCACTGTGACTCAAAATAAGTCGTCTAGGAAGACTCATTACACAAGCATCGGCCCTTCTAAACGGATATATATTATAATATTTTGCCATTTATAAAGTGCACGAAGTATAGGGTTTACGTTAATGTTATTAATGTTATTTGAAAGGTAGAGTAGCACCTGTCATCTATTGCAATATGGGGCATAACGCGTGTTGGCATGATGGAGAGGTTATGAGGTCAGAAACCAAAAAAGGTTTCTGCTGGAAGCGCCTGTACGGCCCACACGAGCAGGAATTAACCCGAAAGCAGGACGAAGATTGGGCGTTGGGTCAACTTCCTGCACTTTTGTGGGCGAATTCGGTATTTTTGCTAGTTCCTGCTCTCGGACATCCGATTCTTCGCACGAAACTTTTACTTTGTAGTCAGATATTGTCTCAGAATGAGTAGGTTCAACGATGCTCCATTTCCTCTTTGTCAGTCACGTAATATATGCACAAATTCAGTGATACCACGTGACTAGAACGTTACTGAATAAGATGCCGTTGGGCTCGTCGCTCCCACCTTCATCCCACCGGGTGATGCGTGACGTTTTAATAAAGAATTCGAACCGTGATCCGGATGCCGATGCCTCGCCCGTCCTTATAACGGTCGATCACGTGAATAACCGTCTCGGTTGTAAAAGAGTTCCGACGGGAATACGTCACCATTCATTCATAAATTCCGCAATGAATGAAATGCGATGACGTCACGTAGCGATTGAAAATTTTCTTTATGAATGAGCGGAGGAAATCCACTACGTAGTTCCCACAGGAATTATCATTCTTTACAACTACAATAGCCATAACAGATGTGGAGAAATCTACAAATAAACACAAAACGCCAAATTTAATTCGATTCTGCTTATGACCATACTTCTTTCTCTTTCTTTTCGGTTCCGTTGCGAATCTCTAAAAATTAGACAGCGTGGATCCGGATTTATTCAATTACAAATTCAAACTTTATTAGTAAATTTGGCCGAAGGCCAGTCTACATTGGGGTTAATAAAATTAACATCACTGTTTTTGCATATACTTAAATAATAAAGAATTAAACAGCTAATCTGCTTTGATGAAAATACTCATATATCCCGCGGTTCCGGACTAATAAACACGGAACTCAGAATTAGGTTCTATTGGAATAAAAATTTATTTCTATCAGAGATAATTTAATAATAATTACAAACGTCGACAGAAAAATTGAAATGATTTTCGTCTTATTTTAATTCTTAATCACGCAAATGAAATTAATTTTACTTCGATTACAAATACGAAAATCTTATGATTAATTACGCTTTTGGAAGCGCCTCCAAGTTGACAAAATCGTAATTAAAAGGCAGCCGATTAATTACGCCCGGTCACATGACCGATTAAATAATTTGATAATTACAATGACAAATTGAATAAAATAATTCAATGAGAATTAGAAATCTATTTATTTAAGATAACTTTAAATTACCGCATTAATTGAAAATCGAAAAAATATAGACCTATATATATTTACGTCATCAAATTACGCGAATAAATATACCTTAATTTATAATATATTATTATTAATAATAATATTAAAATTAAATCAGTAAACGTTTTAAAATTTCTTAAATAATTAAAATAACCGACNTATACGTATTTTGGAAATGTTGAGTCGAATTAGTCTAGAATCGATTAATTTTATGAAAGAAAACCTTTCAAACAGCCATAGTCCGTAAACTATGATTCCTACAAAATTGATTCATAAAGAACGGAACGTATCTACCATCTTATAGCGGGATCTACTGTATATCAAAGTATTTGCATTTATTGTAAAATATGATATTTATTGACCTTAGTATGAAACAATTATAATATATTGATATATTTATACATTACTTAATGGCTTAATGAATCAGTTCTTATTTGAATTGCTGTGTTTTAAGATTTTTATATGAAATATAACCTAATCTAAGATGGTTTGGGCATGTAATGACTGTAGACATGTATAGAATCAGTAATAAAAAATTAACAAAATGAATTGTTAAACATATAAAGATAAGAGGAAGAAATTTAATTACAATTGGATAGATTATATAAAGTATTGAATAATAGAGGAATAGACAACATGAGAACTGCTTTTTATCTTCAAATTTCGTTGGATGATTTTATATTTTTAGTTAATTGAAGACACAAACTGTCCAAAAAAATTTTTTGTAGACGCCATTTATTCACTTCACGTGTTCCAGAACAAACTTTTTGATGATTTGACCTTCTATTTTTAGGCTACTTGGCCATTAAGTTTACAAACATTTCTTTAAAAAACACAGAAAAATATGTAATTAAAATTATAAAATTTCAACTTAGAGTTCATGTTAGAGTTAGAGTTTATTCTGGAACACGTGAAGTGAGTAAATGGTGTCTACAAAAAATTTTTTTGGACAGTCTGTGTCTTCAATTAACTAAAAAAAATGAGAACTGCTGTTTGATTAGATAAAACTCACTTAATTAGGGACCATTTTCTTAAGAAGAAAATTCCGCTATAAAAATTGTAAGCTAATATAGTGACAATTCTAAATTACCTGGGCATAAAACAGTTTTAATATTTTTAGAATTAAAACACTGTTATCTTCAGAAAAGTTATATCATAATTGAAAGATTTAATTCAATTATGATATAACTTAATGGTTAAGGAATGAAATTAAAATTTTATATTCTGTAAACTTACAAAATAACTCAATTTTTTAAAAAAATTTTTGTTACTTATACATAAGACATAAGATTTAAAGTAATTGGCCAAACTCGAGGGTATAGCCAAGGAAGGAATAGGATAGGGAGAAAGGGGTGAGTGAGGGAGGGTGCTTATTGTGCCTATTATCCTTTCTTCTACTGGTGTCATATCACATACACTACACAAAAGTCTAGAAATATTAAATCTTAATAATAATATACAGTATACACAACACTACAGAAAACTATGATATTGAACACATGTCTCATTGTTAGGAAGTTTCTAGATGTAGATACATATCAATAACACAGAAGCTTAATGTTAATTGTTCAGGTAAGCTATGTCTTGACTTTACTCTGGCATAGCACTTGGCACTGATATCAGCTGAGCAAGACATTTTCAACATAATAATATAATAATAAATAATTATTATTAATGAGACATTGAACCTACTGTCATAATAAATTGTTAAGAATAAACTTATAAGATTGAAATGAAATTTTTTATAATATTCACTAAGCTTCACAACTGTCATAGACAGGGCTGTGGAGTTGCGTAAAAATCTACCGACTCCGACTTTTCCTTACCAATCTGACTGCAACTCCGGCTAAAACACCAAAACTCCACGACTCCGACTCCGAGTCCACAGTCCTGCCAGGGCTGTGGAGTAGCGTAAAAATCTACCAACTCCGACTCCGACTTTTCCTTACCATCCAACTCCGACTCCGGGTAAAATACCAAAACTCCTCGACTCCAACTCCACAGCCCTGGTCATAGAATACTCACACATCATCATTGAAACTAATAGAAAACAGATGCCATGCTGAGAATAGTCACTTCCTACATTTTTACTAGCTTGACTTTTAAATTTTTCATAAATGCACTTTGAATAAATTTGTAATTCTGGGATTATTGATTTGGATATTGCAATGTGTAATAAAGAACATCATTGATTGTAACAGAAATTAATTCATATATAGAAAATTCAGGTACCAGGATATGGCTGCATTTTAAATTACAAATTTAATATATATTATATATTGATATTTACTTAACACTTTTAAATTGAAATATTTAATTAATTATATTATTGTTTTAGGATAAAAATCAATTACAGTTTGAGGATAACTGGCCTCAAATGAGGCCAACTATTTTGAAACTTTTACGTCAGGAACCTGTCAGCAGAAGTGAATGGCAAGATTTATTCTGGTAAATAAGTAGCTTTTAGTTACTTTAATAATAATTGTGACGATGATAACTATAAATGTTTTTTAAAATAAAAATGTTTAAACATTTAAGTTTGTAAAATTAATGCACAGTTTCTTTCACTGTACCAAGAACTTCATAAAAATCATTCAAAGTAATTCATAGCTTTTTCTGTGATTTTATTTAGAATTAATAATACAGTAGATCCCCCTATAAAACCGTTTTCTATAGTTATGATTCTTATAAAAATTGTGGCAGTATCCGTAAACAATGGTAAAAATAACTCCTATAATACGTAAAACGTCATCGGGCAGCCGAACTACTTTCCCGCCGTCCGTAGCGCCACGCTACGGACGTTTAGGCGGATAAATTGAGTTTAGTATCGTCTGTTCATATAATTATATATAAATTAGGTACTGTACATATAATTATATATTAATTATATATNTCCTTTGGGCCGAGAGGAGTTTTCTGCGGATGTGGACCTTGTTAGCGACATAACCCCAGATCTCACAGCCATAAGTGAGAATAGGTTCAATTGCACCCTTGTAAATAATTTTGCTATTGTGCGAGTCAATACCCCAGCAGTTCCTGGCAATTGAACGCAGCTTTTGGCTGACGCTGTTAGCTTTATCATAGATGTATTTTATATGGTCTTTCCAGGACAGTTTGGGGTCCAGGATGACCCCTAAGTATTTGATGTTGGTTGTATGCTGGATCCTATTCCCATTAATGTGAATAGTTGGCTTTTTTGTGAGTGGGTTCTTCTTTGGGAAAACCATGGACGAACATTTGTTATAATTAATTTTTAGGTAGTTATCCTTACTCCAGTTGTGCACTAACTTCAGGAAGTTGTTCGTATGACCTTGGAGGACTTCTTGATTTGGATGCGAAAGCAGGATGACTGTGTCATCTGCATATCCATAGATTTGTTACTTATACAGTATAACTGTATATCTTATTCTCATAAATTGAAATCTCAAATAGGGATGATCTTTTCTATTATTTCTTAGTCAAAATTTATATCTTGTTTCTGCATAACTCAGTCATCTTACGCATGTTCTCGAAATAACATTTGAATGATACAAAATACCTATTCCTATCAATTAAGTAATGATTATGAACAAAAATAAAATGAAATTGTTGATTATGCTATTCACTGATTATAAAATGAACTAATACAAAGTGAGAAAAGCAAATATAACAAGCAAATAAGTTTGTATATGTAAGTTATCAGGCTTTTTTTATTTAATGATAAAAAAACAAATGTTACTGAAGACAATAAGTAAGCAGAAAGCAAGTCAGAATAAAATAAAATTGTAATCAAATAGACTAGAAGGGTTTCTAATGTAGAGGTGAAGATTCATTAAGAATAGTGCCATTCATTATAACAAGATTGTGCAGTTTGCTAAACTGCACAATCCACAATCTTGTTATAATGAATGGCATTATTTCTAATGAATGAATACATAATATGAAAGAAACAAAGAAAATGGAAACTGGAACCTACAAGCCATCTAATCAGAACATGTGGGAATTTCAATCTTATTGCATTCATTATTAGAATATTTGTTCTTGCAAGTATCATTCAGTGCTTGGTGTAATGAAACTATGAAGACTGTTTTTTTTTCAACCTCCAATGATCCATAAAACAAAGACAAATGTAAGTAACAAAATGAATTTATTACCAAAAGTTAGGTACAAACATGGTTACTTTTCGACATAATCACCATGAAGATTGAGGCATTTGTCTATCTGTGGACGAGCTTTGAAATCCCCTCTTCATAGAATGTTGCCACCAATGACTTGAGATGGGCCCTAATGTTTTTTGAAGATTGTCATTAGTCTCGAACCTCTGCTCTCCTAGCCACTTTTCCTGTTCAGGAAAGAGGTGGAAGTCGCTTGGCGCTAAATTGGGACATATGCAAGGTGTTTAAAAAGTCCCATGCTTGGTGGAAATCTGAAAGGTAGCAGTCTTCAAACCTTTAATGTGTGAAGACTTCCACCTTTTCCCTGAACTGAAAACTTGGCTAGCAGGGCAGAGGTTTGAGACTAATGATGATCTTCAAAACAACGTTAAGGCACATCTCAATCTCTGGCGGCAACATTCTATGAAGAGGGAATTTCAAAGCTCGTCCACAGATAAGACAAATGCTTCAATTTTCAGTGATTATGTCAAAAAGTAACCATGTTTGTACCTAACTTTTGGCAATAAATTCATTTTGTTATTTACATTTGTCTTTGTTTTATGGACCATCAGAGATTGAAAAAGAAATCACCATCATAGAAAGATAAAATCTAACAGCTATTAGTTTCTGTTATTCTGTTCTTATATTGTATAATTCGAAGAAAATAACAGAATATTAGCTACTTTTTGATAATAAAAGGTGAAATAGAAAGAACATAATATATCAGATGTTGAGAAATAAAAACAAAAAACAATCATATAAGTTTTACATAAAATTTTTGTTATATTGGGCTATATTGATGCTATTAACTACTAATTAAATTTTAAGTAATTTGGCCTAGAGGTAGGCATTTGGCACCATCTCTTGATAAATTTAATAATTATAATTAAATTAATATTTAATAATTAATTTAGAAGGTTCTGGAAGAAAAGAAGTGTCCTGAAGTGGGACTCAGACCTGCAACTCCCATTTACCTTACAATCACATTGCCAGTTACACTACCTGGACTTCTGTCCAATCTTCACTTCCAAAACTATTAATTTAGATATAACCATACTAGTTACTCAGGATGCTGATTGCGGATGACTGAGCACCCACAGCCTGTAACTCCCACTATGATCAAAAAATTGGGTTTATAGATATTTATATTTGTATATATGTACAAATATAAACTTCTAAAAATAGTATATATACAGTAGAGCGTCGTTTATCCGAAACGTCGGTTATCTGAAAGAATTCCAGTTGGCCTAAAGTATAATTTTTATTTGTTTTTATATTTTTCAATGTATTTATTTTGTTTGTAAAACATAAAGAAATAATTTTTAACGATACAATAGCCACGATTATTATTTTAAAAAGTTTATGTTAGGCTTAACATAGACGAAAATTCGACACGAAGCGACACGCAACAGAGAAAAATTTCAACACGTGATAGGTTAATATATTTTTTTGTACATAATCGGTTATCCGAAAAATAAGTTATCCGAACAACCCCAGTCCCCAATTGATTCGGATAAACGACGCTCTACTGTAACTTCTAAACATTGATATAGTATAACAAAAGAGAAATGGTTTGATATTAGAGAAGTATGAAGCTATAGTTTAAAAATATAATTATAAGATTGAATTATAGAATAAGTAAAGAATAGAGGAGGATCTATTGACAACATCACTAGAACTAGCAACGTAGCAGAATGAGTTAATACAAAAAATTACAATTCTGCCCATTCGTAGAAAATGTTTTCAAGATGTCCTTCTTTTGAACAACAAATGAATCTAGCACAAGATAAAATGACTTTTTTAATTTATCTTGAGTTTTGTTTTAAGGATTTCAGAAAAAAATTATGTGAAAAGAAATCATTTAAATACTGGAATCAATTTTAAGTTTTACAGAATTATATTTTAAGCATAGTTTTACTTCTAATTAGTTTATATTAATTGAACCATTATCATTAAATCCAATTAGATGATGATTTTTTTATAAAGAGTAATTTGAGTCCAAAAGACATTTATACAGTATATAAAAATTAAAGTAAAAATATTTTTAACGTTAGCTTAATTGTGCGAATTTTTTTCCTTGTCCTTAAAGGAAAATAAATTCAGTCAAGGCAAGAAATACTGAAAAAATGAATGAAATGTTTTTATTCATTATTGTTGTATTGAAGTTTTCTCTCTATGAATTAAGTAATTTTGGCTTTTATGATGATTTGTTGGACCTCAATTTGAAAAATTGTAGATCTATGAATTTCCACTGTCATTCGTCTTCTGTCTATCCTTAATCTCAAAAATGGAGATAAATAGATGAAATTAGAGACCAGGTATGGAAACCTTAGTGGCAGGAGTAACTATGTACAAACTTTTGATGCAAACCTAAAGTCATGCTATTTCAATTCAAAACTTTTCCCCTGAAAGCATTTAATAGATGATGCACGACTCTATTGTTAAGGAAAAGTATTATGTACTGTACATGGGCACAACTCCACTACTAATTTGAGGTGGAGAGCATATATTTTAAATTAAATTAAAAATGTGATTAAAAATTGCAGCCTGACATTGTGACTGTCACAATAAATAATTGCTCGTTCTAATTTAGTTTAATAAGTGAAATTTAGTCAGAATCAGAACTCTTTATAAAACAAAAAATGCATAAATACAATCATAGGACTATTTGTTTTCATTTTTGCTTTTTAAACAAGAACAGGAAATAAAATTGTTTAATTGACAAAACATTTATAAACAACTTAAAAATACATTCTTCAACTTTAGTAAAAAAAATTGAGATGAATCATTTTATAAGAGATATTTTTAAGAAAAAGCATTCATATACACCATTAAATAATAAACATCTTAAAGCCCTATAAGTATGTAATGAAATAACCAACGATTGCCTGAAAGATCGGGCTAGAGTTTGGCTAATTAAATGATTAATACCAGTATAAAGTAATTTGTCATGTTAGGTGCCATCTCTTAAACTAAATTTATTAAACTAAATCTCTCTGATTATGATTGTATTTATTAATAATTATTAAAATTATAATTATTAATAAATACAGTCATAATTTAGTTAAGAGATTTAGTTTAAGAGATAGCATCTAACATGACAAATTACTTTATACTGGTATTAATCATTTAATTAGCCAAACTCTAGCCCAATCTTTCAGGCAATCATTGGTTATTTCATTACATATACACCATTGTTGTTAAAAATAAAACATTCTGTGGAAATATATATGGTGGCGATAATTTCCAAAAGGAAATGCATTAAAAGATTCTCTGAAAATGTTTTAAGATAATTTTATATTTATTTTGCTTTCAATCAGTTATTTATCAACACTTTACACCACTTATATTTACTTCAGCACATTTATGAGCATGATAATTGTTTTTTATTTTTTCAGTTTTACTTAGCATATTTGTTTATATGTTTTTTATTATTTAAATGTTAAATTAGGTATTGTTAAGTAAATTTCATGCAGATGGTCCACTATGGAGAATAATCCACACTTGCATATAGAAAATTGCTAGACTAGAAATAAAACCTTCATATAATTTGCACACTAACTACCTCACATTTTAGAAGCAGCTATTGAAAGTATAACATCTACCAATATGCTTTCTAGAATATGGGTGGCTGTTTCCATCATGATTGTCACATGTAGCAAATTAGATATAAAAGTATGACAAATTAAAATTATAAAATTTTCCTGTAGAAAATTTTAAATCAAAATGAAATTTTTAGAGATTACAAACCAAATAATAATGATGTATGCCATTGTTATTTTGCATTAAGAATCCATTACGGCAAAGTGTTAAATTTTTTTTTTTGGCAGATCTAGCGATTTTAATTAGCTGAAAATAATTAAAAATTGAGGAAAAGAATATAAAATCATATATGATTACGAGAAATACATTAACCTATTCAAATCCAAAATAATCTTTTTTCACAAATTAAAAATAAAATTTTATTCATTTTGACAAATCAAGATTTTCTGAATAAATAATGGAGATTAATATTTTTAACAAGAACCAAAAAACTTGCATGAAGAGACAAAAATTTATCAGAAAAATTTGGTATTCATTTTCTTGATTTTGATAGATTTAAAGAGGACTTTTAAATTTTTTATGATTCATTCAGCTTTGGCATTTCAGATTCATCCATGAAGATTATTAAAATTATTCTATCATTGGAGAAATTTAGATGAGAAAATTGATGATGTTTCTTTGGAAAAATACAGAATTTTATACTTTTCCAAATAAGTTTAACAGAATACTACAGCTATCTAAATGTGGAAATAAATTTTAGCTGATAAGAACAATAAAATTAGGGGTTTCAAAAGTATTATCTACATTTGGCTCAACATGGTTTTGTGTATTGACATTTTAAACAGTGGACGTGATCAAGTCAAATTATAGATCTCAAATTGTTGATATAAATTGAGAAATATACTAAATGTGCAGTAAGTTCTGTTGTCGGCCAAATTTTGTTAGAAATGTTAAGAACAAAGGATGAATGTTTCTTTTGAAACTAAAGTAATTAATGTTAATAGTTTTTATTAATGCCCTTTTTTATCACTATTAAAAATAAAATAATAATATGGCATAAAACAAAAATTTATTTGTTTTTGGAAGTATTGCTGTTAATATGAAAAAAGATATATAATCACTGTAACAATTTGTAAAAAAATATAAATGTCAGAATAAACAGCCTTGTTTTTAGTCAAATTGATTTGTAATTTCTGTATACTGTGACAAATTTCATTTCTCATTTATCACATTTATACAAGAAAATGTCTAAAAGCCACCATTGCTAGCATTTAAACATTCATTCTCTCTTACTTCTTTTATTAATTTATTGTAGACATAATTATAAAAGAAATGAAACAGAAAAATGGAATATTGAGACAAAATGACTACTGAACAACGATTTTATTCTATTTCCTCATTTTTGTTTTATTTATCAAATTATATTAATAAAGTAATGATAAATATTAAAGTAAACTTGGAAAAAATTAAATAGAAAATAATTATGTGGATAATATCCAATGACATGGATTCCTGAGTTGATTATTAGTTACTGTGGAGAATTCTGCCTCATTTGACAAAAGACATGCTTCCTAATTAAACTAAAAATTGATGGATTATAATAATTAAGCCATCTAATAAGGCATTGAAATTCTTTCATTCAATTATTGTTTAGAAATCATAATGCAGAGATTAATTTTATTATTGTCTTGTAACCCAAAAGTTATTAAATAATATAAATTTTTATGTGAATTTTACTTTAATTAATATAAAACATATTTCTAAATTGCAGTTTTTTTAAAAAATGAAACAAATAAAGCAAAATGATAAAAATATCATTTTTATTTTTGATTTCATTAACATAATTCCAAAAAGTAATGCTATTGTTGCATAAACAAGGCAAAACTTTACACAGTCAAGCTGAGATATTGTTTTAAATGTATATAATCCACTGTGCCAATAGTTCTCCATGGCACTCTTCTGACTCAGCCTCTGTGATATAAATATATCTATCCATACTGGTCACTCACCATACCAACTAGGGACAACTATGCACACAGGACCCTCTGTGATATATATCTAAATTAATTACTTTGGAAGCAAAGATTGGATATAAGTCCATATAGCATTACTGGTATGCATCTGTATGGTAAGCAAAAGTTGTGGATTTCATTCTCCAGGCCAATATTTTCTTCCAGAATATTCTAGAATTAAATTATGTTAAATTTAATAATTAGAAATAAACTGAGATGGCAGCTTAACTGTCTTCCTCTAATCTAGATTGCTTGATACCTTTTTAATTAATTAGCCATATTGAAGTTCACTGAGAATCTGGCAATATCATTTTGAGTGTTTTTGTATTTTTGATTATTTCATCATCATGTTTTTGATTGATTTTTATATATAATCCTTCAGAATTTTATGTGCAAATTTGAAATACACTATACTATTTTATATTATGTATAAAAAAAAAATTAAAACTAAATTCAATGTTTTAAGTTTTGCATTATCTATGGAACATTAGGAACAATTATTTGATTTGATTTGTTTTATAGTTTTGAAATGCTTTAATTCACAAACCACATATTAAAGTAGTAATAAAATTTTTTTTAAATATTGTAAAATAGGATTTATTATAACAAAAATTTTAAAATATAGATCATAATTTTATAATAAAATATCTAATTTTAATTTGAAAACAAATTTCCTAAATAATTTGATAAATATTGAAATCTAATTATTCTGTAATTATTTATGTAATTAATGTCCTCAAAACAATAATTTACAATAATATATTTAAAAATGAATATCAAAAACTATTTACACAATGTTATTATTTGTTTAATATACAGATATTTTTAATATAAATTAAATCACTGAATTATATTCTAAATGCAAATCAAAATTATGCAATTTTTTTTTTTTAGCCCACATTATTTTAATAATTTACTTCAGTGTGAAAACTCTAACCCAAAACTTTACAAAATTTGCTAAATGTTTAATCATTTTTTGAAAAACAAATCTTTTTTGTAATAAATATTTCATTTTACGGAGACGGAGAAACGATCGCGCAGGCGTGGAGGTACTTATTTGAAGAATTTGAACTGGGACAAGCGGAGGGGTGAAACACGATACGCACATTATTTACATCTCGGGTGTCATCGTTCCAATGATCAAGAGGAGAAACTGTTTAGTCACCACCTGAAGCAGACCTCGGTGGAGGTTGAACACATTTGTGAAGATTGTTATAGGACACAACACTGTCATAAAAAGGTTTTGTGGATTGTTGTTACTCAATGCAGTGTTAAGATTAATAGTTGTTTTGCATTTTATATCAGTAAAAATGATTATTCATTTTAAGTATATACAGTCAAACCTTGATTTTCAAACTTAATTTGTTCCTAAAAGTTGTTTGAAAACTGATTTGTTCTAAAACAGAAACAAATTTTTCCATAAGAAACATTATAAAATGGGGCTTTGTTTTGGGTATTGGTAAATTCCATTTCTGACTCCCAAAACGAAGCCTTTTTTTTTTTTTCTTAGTCTCTTTAGCTGTATTTCATGCATAAAAAATGCCTTCAAATGCAATATAATATTATATGTATCTATTCTATACATATATATTAAAAGCAAAATGTTCTGTCACTGCCAACTGAAACTGAAATTAACACTTTACAAAGTAGTGCTGTAAATAGAGACAATTCTGCCTGGATGAAATATAACCAATCAATTAAGACAGATGACAAGTACTTTATCCACACTTTCTGAAATACTGTTTCAAATGATTTGATTTTAATTTTAATTAATTGATTTTTATTTTTAATTTTACTTTTAGTTTCAGTTTTGGGCTAAAAGCCAGAGTTGTAATTATTATTATATTATTTTTAGTTTTAATTGACTTGCTACCTAGTATTAATAAATATTAAATATATTATTTTTGTTATTTAATTTAACTTAAGCATATTTAAACACAAATTCTTGGATGTCATTTATATTGCAAGAATATCAATTAACTCAGTTTTTATTAATTAATTTTATTTAGATTCATCTATGGAGCATACCAAAAACCAGAAATAGTATCTTTTGCACATGCTCATTGAATCTAATTTAAATAGCAACATTATTAATGATTCATGTCATGACATTTAATGATGTGAAGCATCACATCATTAGATATCCCGTAAATAAGTTAGATATGAAAAATACTTCATATAAAATCAATGGAAATTGAAAGTTGATTGAGAGATGAAAATTTTGCTTTTTTATTTAGCTGTAGAACACTTTTAAATTATTATAAAATTAATGCAAAGAAAATTCTTAAACTTTGATATTATGATTAATCTCTATTAAAACAAAATATTGTCTTTATAAAAAGCAAGTATTTGATTTTGATTTGTAAAACAATTTTCATTGTTAATTTGTGCAGAATGTGAATACCTTTCTTATAATAGTAACAAGCTTTTTATTAATTTGCAGGTTAGTGCATTCTGTTTGTCTTTGGGATGATAAAGGTCCACCAAAAGTTTATACTAATTTACAAGAAGATATTTTAGAATTTATTAGACAAGCACAAACTGTAAGTCTATTATTTCTTTTATAACATTTTAAATGGTATCAATTAAAATAATTATAATTAGTAATACATGTTTTTAATAATGTTTTTATTTTTAGTATAAAAATTATATATAATACAGATTGTTTATAAATGATTACCCTTATTATAATATACTTAATTTTATAAAGTTGAATCTTTCATCAGTTTTCTTATAATAATTTTATACAATTATAGTTTTAAACTCAGTGAGTTAAGTTTGCCATTGTTGCTGCTAGTAGCACTACTACATTTATTCATTCCAGAGGTCATCTGTACAAGAGTGTTGTTTGATGACAGAAACAAAATATCTTATGTCTTTGCATAAAATGTTTAGAGCCAAATATAGTTGGAATCCTTCAGTCATACAGCTTAGTAAATAATGGATGGAAAAGTTTTTTGAAATTGGATTTGGTAAGAAAGGGAAAAGGACTGACAAAATGTTTATTTGTTTTTGATATCAATGGATACAGTTTGATGCTTTTATGCAATTACCTAGTAAATTAATAAGACAAGCTTCATAACAGTTAAAAATACTAAAATCTACAGTACACAAAGTGTTGTATTTTTCTGCCCTGCAAACACTTTTTCTTTTAAGTCCATTATGGGTTTGGACAATTTGCCCACAATGGGACAGCTGGGTGGTGAGAGACTGGGTTTAACATATATGGGTGGCCCTTTTCCTGAAAAATTCTTGGGATTTTTCAACCTGTCCTGATTTGATCCTGGATCCCTCAGAGTGGTAGGCTGCCACCTCTAACCACTTGGCCATCCACCCTTTTCTGTTGGGATATGTGACAGCTATTCTAGACTGAAAATAACTTCATACGTTTTAATTTCAGCACAAACAGAAAATATTTAATTAAAGCAAACATTTTTAGTGTGATTCAACAGATCTTCATCAGGTTATATCTGGAAAGAATGTTCTAATAGAGTTAAGAAAGTTTCAGTCACAATATACAGAAGCAGGTTTTCTACTTAGCTGTACTAATTTGAATTATTCTGTACAATGATGTCATGTATGAGTAAATTTGAACAGTCATTCCATTTGTATTCTTTTAAGTATTACATTTGCTGGATTGTATGCCAAGAAAATGGTCTACCTCTTCCAATCTCTAACAACATTTGTTACTAAATAATTTTCACTTTAAACTAGGTACATTAAGCTTTCTAATATTTTTTACAGATGTTTTTTCTATCATAAATACAGTGGGTGATCAGTTAATGAACATAATCTGTTCCAAGATCTTGTTTGCTATCTGAATTGTTCATTAACTGATTATCGATTTACCATAGGTTTTTATGTGAATTTGATTAATTTGTTCTGGAGACCCGAAAAAATAAAAAAATAAATATTTTATTACTACGTTTATTTATATGTAATAGTAAAAATACATATATACACTGTCTTTCATTTTTATTAGTCATGTTTTTTCCGTTTTTTCTGTTTATGGGTGTTAAAGAATATGGCTAATGTCGATTACTTTTCTCTCTTCTTCAAGATTTTTCAGAAGTAATTAATAGCATTGTAATTGTAGAGATCCCTAAGCCTATTAACCTCAACCTGGTTTGGATGCCATTCTAAGACCGTTGTTCTGACATCATCCCACTTCTTCAAAAAAATGTTTAATGGCAAATATCGACATTAATTCTCTTTTTCAGAAGAAAACATATCTTGCCGAGTTTCTTGGTTTAAGTTTAAGAGTTCTTGGCATTCTTCTGTTGTCAGGTCCGTTTCAGGTTTCATTATGAACTCTTCGATATTCTTTATTTCTCAGATGTAATTTTTGTTACTCCTTAAGCTGCTTGAGCCTTGTTGATAATACAGTATCTTTCTTAAATAAGATTGAACTGCAGCCTACTGTAGACCTGTTCAAGCCATACTGCCCAGCAACAACAGATATCAGACATCTGCCCACTCTCTACCTTTGCTATTATACTCTCACCTTTTGAAAATAAAAAAACGATGCAAAACTTAATGAGTGCCTGCCCAACAATCTCATGAATACTATAAAAAATTGTTTCTGTTGGAAAAATAAAAGGCTGGAATTACAAGGGAGAGTTTCAAAGTTTGGAGGAATACTATCCAATCAGTATATATAGGGTTGTGCGTTGATGTTGATGTCTCCCGCACTCCAAAAAGATTCGAATTGTTGTCTGAAGACAAGGAAGACCAATCAGTATTCATTATTTTATGTTGCTTCTTGTGTTTGTTGTGTGAGATGTTCGTTATCCAATCATGTGTTCATTGTCCAAACATAAAAATCTTTCGTGAAAGTGTTCATTATCCGATTTGTTCGTTAACCAAACTGTTTGTTAACCAATCACACACTGTACTAATAAAGTTACAAATTTTTAAAATTGCACATGGACTTTATGGACACCCTGTATATAACAACTAGAAAGTAAAAACTCAGATGTTATATAAAAATTTTCTATCAATTACAACAGTATTTTTTTTTTTTAATGATATATTCATTTTGACAGCATCATGGTGACAGCAATAATAGGCAAAATTTAAATTTCCTGTTTTCTACAAACAATATTCAGAAAAAAATAACATTACTTTTTTGATTGCTCTTATTTTTCATTTCTGGAATGCTTTTTATTTCTTTAAATATTTTATTGATCACTATAAACATATGGAAAAGTTATGTTATTAATAATAATTATTACAGTAACATAACAGAAACAAATAAGCCATTCATTTGTGTTATTTATTGTAGTAAATATTTATAAATAAACTTTGGCTCAATAGTCATATTAAAGCCAAATGACTGCCAGATTAATTTAATAAGAAATGATGCCTAATACCTAACTCTAGGCCAAATTATTCTGTATTTAATTATTAATAGTAGTAGTAATATAGCCGTATTTAATACAGCAGTCATTTGGCTTTAATGTAGTAAAGATTATTATTGACCCCTTTTTTTTATAGCATTTGATAATTCAAAAATTAAAAAAGAAAGATATATAATTGATAGTATATGATATGAGGGCTAGAAGAATAAGTCTGGGCAAACTACTATCCCACATGTGATGTTCACAACACAATCACTCTCACACATATTAGCTTACAGAAACTAAATACCATAAATATTTTTCCACAAACAATTTATTGAAAAATATGAATGATTTAGCTTATTTAAGAAGCCTGCTTCTTAAATAAGCTAAATCATTTAGTTTCTGTAATATATTCTGAAACTGTATCTTCGTTTATTTGAATAATTTGTTATCACTACTAGGTGCTTATACAGACACTTGGCAATTCTCTCATTAACTTTCAAATTACCTATTCGATTTAGAGGCTTCTCAAATCCCTGTTCTCACTCCTAACATTTCCCAAAGCACAATTTACATATTGGTCTATTGCACAATAAACATTTTCTATACTTCAGAAATTAATTCATTATAACAATATAATGTACCATTTACTTCCTGGCTATCTTTTACAACCTGTAAAAGATAGCCAGGAAGTAAATGGTACATTATATTGTTATAATGAATTAATTTCTGAAGTATAGAAAATGTTTATTGTGCAATAGACCAATATGTAAATTGTGCTTTGGGAAATGTTAGGAGTGAGAACAGGGATTTGAGAAGCCTCTAAATTACCTATTCTAATTTGAAAGAAAGTGTATCTTTGAGATGTTTAGTGTATGGAGAATATCCTTTATTCACAAAAAGTTTAAATCAAATTAAAAAATTAAAAAATATGATGTATTTTCAATTGTCATGCTACAATATATCCCAGGAGGTAATGCTGACGGAAGAGGGGCTTGAGCTCGAAATACGCCTCAGCGGATAAAAAATCCCGAATAAAAGTTGATGACAAAATTGCCACGTGTCTGTATAAGCACCTAGTAGAGATAACAAATTATTCATTTAGTTTCTGTTTTACTTCTGTTTCAGCATAGATAATTAGTATAAGCTTATTTGTTAATTTTTATTTTAAACTAGCTGCAAGGACCTGCTTCGCTGAGTTTTTATTTATGGGCAAAACATAACGATAGTGAAGATTAAGATAATTACATTATAGCCAATCTTACCCGTTTTCACAGAATGCAAGAATTAGGTCCCCCGTTTCCAGACTAATTAGAGAATTTTTACATCCAGTCAAATGAACTGTTTTCAATTTGATCAATTTTCTGGAATGTTTACAATCGTTCTATAATCGAACCAATTCGAATTTAAATTTGAATACGAATTCAAATTTGAAAATTTTTAAAATTGAAATAGAAAATCTTCCACTTTCAATCACTTTCAAGCCCATATTTCCCGCAGCCTTATAGCTATCGAGACGCAACCACCATAGTGCACGAATGGAGACTTGGGGCTACCTCCACATACAAACACCATTCGTGTGCGATGTGTAGTTTTGGCTGAAAAGTGAAATATAGGGACACACACGTCCATTTATATATATATATATACAAGAAAGTGAATAATAATTTTTATTCATTGAATTTTAATCTTGGATAATAAATGTTTTAAATTGGGAATATAACACTTTTTTATATTTTAACATAAAGTTAGTAATTAACTGAACCAAACTCAATATTGTATGTAATGGTAGAAATGTAGATACTGTATGACAATAAACTGAGCATTATTACTAATGATGAACAAGTACAAATAGAAAAAATTGACAAAATTCAATTCTTTTATGGTTATTAATTAACATATTTAAAATTTGGATTCAAATTCATCAAGTTTTAGATTGAATATAGAGTCAAGTAAAAATTAGACTCACTGAATCTGAGTCTGCATACGTGGACCTGAAAAATAATAATCTAGCTGACAGTGCAGCAAATATGGTCAACTCATGATGTAGAAGTATGACTTACAGCATTGCCAAATTTCTTATATTATTATTTTCAAGTTATACTTTTGTTTCATCACTTGCTATTTTTGGTAGTAAAGCACATTGATTTTTGCATTTAAATCATGGAGAAATCATTTAAATGTTTCTTGTTATGATTAAGATAACATCTAAACTTTATAAAGTTAAAATGTTTGGCAAAGTAAATAGGAAGTAACAAGATTACAAATAAAGTGATCACAAGTGGTGTTTTGTATTTCAAACAAATTTAATTCTTCCAGTAGGCTGTTTGAAGTATGAATCAATTTTTCCATTAGAAATAATGGAAAGGTAAATTTATCCTTTTCCAGATCCCAAAGAATATCCATTTCGATTAACTTAGGGTATTTAATTGTATTATTTTTACCTTAAGTAACAAATTAAAACATGAAAAGAATAAATAAATACATAAGTACTGTATAAAATAAAAATTGCATTTACTTTAATTTACTAAGAAGTGGTGATGTTCCAGTTCTTAAGGTCACTATGCAGGTTGCTTTGATTTCTCACAAATAATCCTCCCAGAGATGATATTACCAGCTTACTCATTTAGCAACACTAGGAAGAATTTTTCCTTCTCCTCACTAATATATGCTCTTTCAGAGGTCAACATTGTCATACCTTTAGCCATATTTGCTGCTTTTATTGTTTTGCTATTCCTAAGAATAGTGCATATTGTCAACTTTGCATCTTATCTACAAGTGAAAAAGGAACTTATTGCTTTCATGCTTTGCAATAAGTTTCTTTTTCATCTCAATTGTTGATATTGCAACCTTCAACTTAGGCTTTGTTCCTTTCACACTCTTCTCGAATGCTATGAATAGGTAGGGTTACATATATAACCAAACACACCAAAAATAAAGCACTGAAAGCACATGAGCATAAAGCAAAAGATGCTTTCACTGCACATGCAATTCAAACACAGTAGCATCATTTGAACTATGGGTTGACTTTTTCTTGAATTTAATGTTTAAACTCTGGAATATTTGAAGTTAGATTTGTTTGAAGTATAAGGTACCATTATATTTAGTTAATTTTATTTAAATTTACTGTGAAAATGTATATTTGAAGTAATTCAAACTAGCATAAATTTTTATAGTTTGTTATTGAAGTGTTATATAGCAAATAAATTTTATTTAAATTATTTATAATATTAAATCATTATAAAGATAATTTGTTTTAATCAGTTTTGTAGTAATGAAAAATTTTAATTTAAAATAAAGTTTATTTTAATATGATATTTAGAGGGTTTTGGCTCATCAAGAAGATCAAGCTCTTCTTAAAGCTTATATTGCTGAATGGAGAAAATTTTTTACTCAGTGTAATTACTTACCTATGCCATTTGGTCAATTAGAAGCTACATTAGCTGGTAAATCTGCTTCTGTCCAAAAGAAAGGACAAAATGAAGAAAGTATAGTTAGAAAGGTTTGAAATTATTATTATTATTATTATTATTATTAAAAGAAGAGTAAAAATTTTACTTTTTAAACTGATAAATAAACGTTTATACAGTAGCCTTCATTATATTGTGCCTTGTTATATCGTTATACCTGATTTAAACTTTCTATTATAAATTAAACATTTTTTGCACAACAGAAATAAAGTGCATAAAAGAGGGAAAAAAGTCATGAAATATTTTTAACTGTTAAATGATTAAAAATTTAATTGCAATTAATTCTGTAATTAAAAAAATTATCTTAAGTTAATCCTATTTTTAATCTCAAATTTTAGATTATAGATAATTTTGATACTGAATAACAAAAAAACTAAGCATTAAGATTTATTAACAAAGTAGAGTACACAAGAAAATTAAAAATTAAACTTTATTACAAATTTTCCTGAATTATTTATTATTATCTCTTTATCTGTAATTATTTAAATTTAGTGACTTGATTAAGTTCGGTGGCACTACGTGAAATTATCTCTTACCTTGTCAGGTATTTCAGCAAAAGCTGTGCAATGTATAATGTGTCATCTATTACTATAATAAAAAAAAAGAAAAGCCTTCTGCTGAGTGTAGACTTAGATTTATAATGTTAATAGAGCCATGTGACACATTATGCTATCTTCATTGAAAGAAAAAATTAGATCATTTTCTTTGTTTTCTTTGCTGGAATTTAAACAGTTTTAAGCATTTGTTTTAATTTGTTTTCAGTAATTGTAATCATACTTGATAGGTATCTGAGGAATGCTTGTTTGAAGCATTTCCTTTTCCATTTCTTCCAGTTTGCTTATCAACCTGGCAATTTACATTTGCTAGGTTGATAAGCAAACTGGCAATTTGAAAAACAAAATTGCATAAAGTAAGTAAGTAATGATTTGCTTTATACAGTTTTGTTTTTCATATTGAAAAAGTCTTGAATGTTAAGGAAATTGCACTTTCTGCTTTTCTGAACATTGAAGATAGTTTTTTAAGACCTCTTTTCAGAATATTAAATAGGCTGAAATTATGACCATGATTCAGTTTTGTTTGTTTGTTGGATTGACACTGTGCTTCACTGATAAAGTATGGTAATTTTTCTCTTTGGAATTTTCTTGAGAATATCTGTTGTACGTGGTCACCTGCAGAATGATGCTCTCTCACAACATCTGTGGTATCTTGTGGATGATCATTTGAGATTTCAGTAGTTCTTGGTTGTATACTCAACGTTATGTAGATGATGATATTCTTTTCCGTATTAGTAAATATTCTAGCACTTAATCAGCTCTTCAAAGAAGTCTGTCTTGTGTATTTAAAAAAATAATGAATCACATAACGACACTATTGTGGAAAACTGGTATAAACTACATTATTGAAGTGAATGAAGCAGTTAATGTTTCTTCAATATATTCAATTGAAGCTGCTTTTAGCATAAATTTCTCTAATCTGTACCACTTTTGTTCCAGAATTTAAGTTTTTTTTTCCCAATAAATTGTATTTTGCTATTTTTTTTTAACTTTGTAAACTTTTCATAATTAAGCAACTGCTTAATTAGGACAAAATGTTCTAGCCTTGATGTGCCATAGTTAACCAGAATCCACTATCTTTTTTATTACAAATGTAATTACAGTCGACCCCCCCTATAACATGGTAGATACATTCTGGTTTTTATGAAATTCATTTTCTACATGTCCTTAAATACATGAGCCAATCACAGCTCAGCACGGATGCAGTTTACGGACTACAGCTGTTTGAAAGGTTTTCTTCCGTAAAATTAATCTATTCTAGACTAATTTGACTCAACATTTCCAAAATAAGTATAATTTTTTGGAAATAATCCATATAAACTATGCTATAAACAAAAAATTGTAGGATTACTTACTGAGTGTGCACCATTCGACAACGACATTGCTTAAGCTTGTTTTCGTCATGGAGCGGTGCATCTAATAGTGCTCGCGTGCTTCCTGATAAATTAGTTTTCTGCGAAAACTTTGCTGATCTTTGGAGACATCATTAATATAAATATGATTTTTATGGACATTAAATAATAAATGGTTTTTAGTAAGTCCACTGCTCTTTTAAACTCAACGGTTTGTGCAATATCTGTTATTGGTCTAGATTCGACCAATCCTGTTGTGACGCGAGTCAGCGATGACGTTTTACTGAATTATACAAGTCTCTTTTAGCGTGTTTATACAAATATGGTCGCAATTTTTTTCGCTATCATATAGGAATCTGAACTATATGAACCCGTTTTTATAGGGGGGTCTACTATATTGAGTTAAATCTTTCTCTCTTATCATTGGTAAGTGATAAAGCAATTTGGTTGTTATATTTGGAGTCATCAATATCAAGATCATAAGAATTCTAAGTTTTACAGGAAATAAAAAACTTTTTTTGCCAACTAATGTTGTCAATGACAATTAAACCACTTAATACATTTCCATTGATTTAACATTACTATATAATTCTTTCATTAATATTATATTAATTAAATGTAATATATAATTAATTTAAATGTTTCAGCTTATGTTGGATAGTTGGAATCAGAGTATATTTTGTAATATTAAACATCGACTTCAAAATAGTGCCATGAAACTCGTCCATGCGGAACGTAATGGTGAAGCATTTGACTCTCAATTGGTAATTGGAGTAAGAGAATCATATGGTAAAATTTTTTAATAAAAATATTTATTGTTATGATTGTTAAGATTATTTTTAAACTTTAAAATCCAACATATAGAGAATTTTAATAAATTTTTATTTATTCATTTTGTTAGATAATTCAGAAAGCTACATTAATTTTAATTAATTAAACATATAACTTGTGGTTAATTCAGAAAGTTATATCTTTATTAATGTAGCTTAAAGTATATTACCATAACTTTGGGCAGATAATTTTCAGTGATGTATAATTTGCATTGGCACGTATTCTATAAAAGTTGCTAGAGTGGAAATAAAACATCTGCATAACTCACACCATCATACACTTCACACCCTCTGAGTACTTGAAAATATACAATTTAGAAATGATCTCAAATATTTCACTTTTGTTTCTTTCATTTATTTATATTAGCAGTTCATTGTACATATAATTAAAAATAAGTGAAATGGGGTAGTACAGAGAAGGAATCACGAATAAAACAAAATTAAATTTATTACATATAATGTTACATTTTATTGAACTTAAGTTAATGTTATTTCAAACTAAAGTCTTATTAATACTGTTAAATATTTTTTCCAGTCTTTTATGGTCCAATTTTTGTGCTGTCTTGCCCAGTTTAAATAATTGTTTTTTGTTTCTTGGTTGGTATTTTGACCTTATCTTTACAAAATGAAAATTCCATATCATTCCTATTTCTTACTGTTCTGTCACAAACACTTGTTTCATTTTTCTTCCATTTTGCATTTAATTGTTTGGAAGACATTTTTTGATTTTGTAAACATATTTTTTTCAATAGGCAATCTTGAGTTTTGCTGGTGTTTTTAAAGTGACCACTACTGACAGGATTTTTTTACGTCTCCCGTGTCTTTCAACTTATAGCAGCTTTATAATTTGTTTTCTCACATCATTTTTAAATTGTTTGATTAGGACCATTGGTTAAGCAAAAACAGGTAAAATATCACTGTTCACTTAGAAAATGATGAAAACACTTTTCTTAAAACTAATGGTTTTTTCCATTCAAATTAGAATGCTCAAATCTGTAAATTTCAAACAATGTTCAAATACTTTTTGCCAGGATTGTGTGTGTATATATATATTTATTTAATTATAGTTTATCATTATAGTTAGTCAGTACTGTACTTCTGAAAGATCAGCAGACCCCTCAGAAAGCTGATGAATACCACAATATCATCATTTGTGACATTTGGCGCAAGCAACATCCAACTGAAAAGGCATATAATCACATCAACAAAAACATGCAGTATGAGAACTGACAGGATACTAATTAGAGCAGTGTTTTTCAACCTTCTTGAATATGCGACCCCTTTACAAGTTTAAAACTTTTGGCGACCCCCAGGGCCATATTGAAACTATATCAGTGATTTTAAAAACTACGTACAGTACTGTATTTAATTTTCTTTCTGTTGAGACCTAATTATAGTTAGTCATTAAAAGTCAAGGATGATGAACTTGGTTGCTGAAAGTGCTAGAGAGTAATTTGTAAATAAAGATGGACGTGCAAAGCAATTTATTTTTTGTTATTTTTAAAGAACTTGGAGTTGTTTTTACATTAAAATTAATAAAAAAATAATTGCATAAATATAAATATACTATTTTGCAAATTAATTAAAGTTATTTGATCAGTATTGTTAATTTCATTTTCTCATACAATTTGCAATAGGTGCTGATTAGCTTATCAAAATTTTTCTAATTCTACACTTCTTTTCTTATTAGGCTCTGTCAAACAAAATGTTTTTGCCATCCATCATGTGATCAAAGTCAGTTCAAGTTTTCTTAAACTGGCTCTTGATCCCATCATGGACTGAAGTTAATCCCTTAGTTGTGACATTCTCTTTTGTCTACACTCCTGTAATCATGAGTCTCTCACAGTGTTACTGTTGCAGCTTCCATGGTTTAAGTTTTTCTTTCCTCAGACTACAAGGAAAACAATTTCAGCTACATTGAAAAGAATTGCTTAGTTACCTGCTTAATTAAAGTGAGAAATAGTATCATTTCATTCAGTTGTACTAATTGATAATCATGCATGTTGAAGTTACTTTAGGAAGTTTTTCCTGTATTTGATTAAAACAGTGCAACTTGCATTTAATATAGATATCTACAGTAAATATATAAAATTACATGTCCTGACTGACTGAGTGACTGATTGATTCATCATCATCCAGAGCAAACCGCTGAACCTAAAGAGTACATTATGTACTCTTTAGGTTCAGCGGTTTACCTTTACCCGGTTACCCTTCTTAGTGTACATTATGAAAATGCACACTTTAAGAAGGGAATTTTTGAAATTTTTCTGCAGGGGAGAGGGAGAGGATTAAGGCTTAACCTGAAGAATGGCTTCTACTGTACTATTTTAGATGCAATTTTTTGTTTTTAACTACATTTTAGTAGGGTATGCAATGAGAGTGCACACTAAGAAGGAATTTTTGGAAATTTTCCTGCAGGGGAAGAGGGAGAGGATTAAGGCTTAAAAAGTCTTAGCCCCAAAAGGCAGTACCACAAACATGGTTTACAAAGAGGTACTGGGGTAACTGAAACTCTATTTTTCAGTAAATATTTATACTTTAGGAATTTTCAGATAATGTCATTTATGTTTCGAAAAAAATTGAACTCAGATTTATTGTATCTCAGAATCTCATAATATTTGAAACTTGAATTTAGGTGCATTAGCAGTCCATAGTTTGAAACAAACAAAAATCAGTAATTTTACCAAATTAGTAACAACTAATGATTGAGAATCTTAGTGAAGTACCAAGGGAGGGTTATTTCTATCAAATTGCAAAATCTGCATGTGCAAAGCTGCAGGTAACAGCTACTAAAGATATATATATATTATTTTGATATATATATATATATATCAAAATAATATTAAATGCAAGTTGAGGCAGCTTACAATATTTTCATATTACTTCAGTTAGTTTTTGAGTGATACTTGATTATAAATACAGTAGAGCGTCGAATCAGTTGGGGACTGGGGTTGTTCGGATAACCGATTATGTACAAAAAAATATATTAATCTATCCCTTGTTGAAATTTTTCTCCGTTTCGTGTCGCTTCACGTTGAATTTTTATCGATGTTAAGCCTAATGTAAACTTTTTAAAATAATAATCGTGGCTATTGTATCGTTAAAAATTATTTCTTTATGTTTTACAAACAAAGTAAATATATTGAAAAATATAAAAACAAAAAAATGATACTTTAGAAGTTAATCTAGTATCAAAAACATTCGTTTCACAGTCCTCAGAAAAACACCACACAAAAGTACCAGTGCTGCCAGCTAAAACACACACATCAACAAAAAAAATATTGGAGTAGCCCAAGATATAGCCAAAAATTGCAGCGCCACAGCACTAGGGAAAATTTAAATTTGCCAACTGGAATTCTTTTGGATAAATGATGCTCTACTGTATACATTATTGCACACAAAAGAATTAACTCTTCTCCAAATTATTATTCTATGGATTATATATTTAAGATGTCAGTTATGCTTTATATTTTTGTAGTTACAGAAAGATAAAACAAAATGCTTTTTTCAGTTAGTACATTAAAAGAGAAACTAAAATACATAAATTATTATTATTAACATAAATTAACATAAATTATTATTATTATTATATACTAGATTACAGTATATATTTTTATGTAATAAAATTAATTGAAATATATTATTATATTTTTAAAAATTTATTTTATTTTTAATATACATATTGTCATCTATTTTATTTCATTGTTAGATAAGATGTTTTTAGCATATTAACAAAAATTATTTTTCAGTTTTTTTTAAATTCCAAAATTAGTAAAACTGAGTCTTAAAAAATCTTTCATAGGTACTGAATTTAATATTATTTTATTTTTAAATTCTAAAATAGTAATAAATATATAACTGTAGAATAATGTTGATTAAAAAGATTGAAATAATTCAAAGTAAATTTGTTTTTGAATATTACAGTAAATCTCTGTTCAAATACTGAAGATAAACTTCAGATTTATCGAGAGAATTTTGAGAAAGCTTATATTGAGGCTACAGAATCATTTTATCGAGCAAAAGCACCACAAATTTTAGAGGCTAATGGTGTACAAAATTATATGAGATATGCAGATCAAAAATTAAAAGAAGAGGAACAACGAGCATCAAAATATTTAGAATCCTATTTTGGATCTGTTCAAGCAGTATGTAATATAGATAACTTTTGTAAATAGCATTTATCTTTTTATTTATTTATTTATTTAAAAAGAAAATTACATTAAAGCTATTTCTTGAAATTGAATTCTTAATATTTTTTAAACTTTTTAAGATTGTAGAGTTTAATACAGTAATACCTTGACTTACACTACCCCGACTTATGCGAACCTGGAGTTACACGATTTTCAAATCTTGTCGATTCGTCTTTTGTTTGAGTGCCATGCAACTCTTGATTACTCACTCCCTCCACATCCCCCACATAGTTCAGCTTACATGTTCGGACATATCATGCGGAATCGACACATAGCTGCAATTTATTTTGTGTTATTTATTTCTGTGTTTGTTATATCTACAGAGACTTGAGAGACTCTATATGGTGATTTCTTGTAACCGTGACCGAATCAAGAGACGAGATAAGATTAACAAAAACATTTATTAGCTTACATACACCTGACTTGGATTTTACACAAATTGCGAAATTATATCCCAACTTACGCGAATTTGACTTACGTGGTTATCGCTCGGTCCCACCTATTGCGTAAGTTCAGGGTATTACTGTATATAAATTATAGTATTGGAGTATTAATCATTATACCATATAAAATTAGTGAAATGTGGATTTAATGAGTGGATATGATTTACATGGGATTTAATTTTGGGAGTGTGTACATAAATAAGAATTCATGAAACATAAAAATACATTCAAATTTAGATGAAGAGATTCATTCTTTAAATGCCTAAATAATTATCATTTCAAACAACTTTTTGATTTATATAAGTAGAAAACTGAATTATTGAACAAGGTAAGTTAAATAAAATATCAGTCAACTGAAAGTTATTTGTATAGTGATAGGCACATAACAAACAAGTGCCACACATTCACTGATTTTTATATTTATTTTTTGCTATAGTTAGATTAACTTTGTATGTACTTTTTTAAACCTCACATGAAGCTTTTACACAGTGAATGTACTACATACATTTTAATTTTTACATGTTAAATAAAATATCAGTCAACTGAAAGTTATTTGTATAGTGATAGGCACATAACAAACAAGTGCCACACATTCAGTTATTTTTATATTTATTTTTTGCAAATAAAATAAATAAAACTTCTACTGTGACGAAATAAATAAAATGGCGACTAAAAAGTCCGTAATGACGGAACGATAGCGGTCCTGTCTGACCCTAAAAATAGTTTAGTAACGGGCGTCNAATTTTTATGTGTTTATTGTTTTTTTACATTAAGATTGTATTATTTAAAATTTTATATAATATATATAGTAAACAATTAAAAATTATAAATTTGGCATATGCCATAATTTACTACACATTTTTTACATAAATTATGATGACTGCCAAGTTTACAATTTTTAATTGTTTACTATTATGTAAATGTGATTTGTGATTTTATGTGGTGGTAGTTTTGGTCTAGGTGTAGCTGCAAGTAGGATTGAAATTTTTTGGATCTGCCACTGTGTGATTATCACCTATTTGGGTCTTTGAAGGAAGCTTTAGAGACAAATATTTCACTCAGAATTCTGAGTGAACCTTTCAGTTTGTCATGCAGTGGGTCTAACACTAGAAAAAGACTTCTATTCTGCAAGCATAGCATCATTGCCAAAATGATGGGAGAAGTGTTAGCATATGAAAGGGAGTACCTAGAGAAAGAAACCTAAATTGGCACTATGTAACATATCCATTGCCATTGCTGAAATTCTAGACTGAAGTTGAATTGCCCTTTTATATAATATATTACATCAGGCCTGAGCAGTGGTCTGGGAAAACCTCAACATACAGATTTTATCAATACTATTTTGTGAAAGATGAGTGTTGCATGGGTTAGTGATGGAGAATAACAAATACTTACATATATGTTACTGTGAAAGACCAATATCTGGAAAATGTTGAGATTCTTCGGTGAATGTCAGCATTCACACAGTCGTTTCGTGTATGTATGAAATATTTGCTAAATATCATTATTTCTCACTTACACCGGTGAATGTCGACATTCAGCATGCACTGATGGTGAATGTTGAATAAAAATATTTTTATTACATTAAGACAAAAATGCAACTTTTTAATATGTCAAAATAGGAGAAAGCTTAAGTAACAGCACATGTAAATAAACTGTTGAACCTAAAATGAACAGTACGTTCTTAATCAGAAAAGAAAAATAATATGCAATAGTAAACTTACACATAATATTATGTGATTAACTTTATACAATCTTATTTATTACATTTTAAACTGTTATGACACTTTGAATTTCACAAGAGTCCCTTGCTTTTACAACTGCATTTATTTGTGGAACACTTCTTTTTCGCAATGACAGAATGTATAACTTTGCCCTCCACTTTTTGAATTATCTGCAGCTGCGTCTCTCAGCGATATTTCTTGAGAAGAAATCTCATCTATGGAAAGTAACTTTTCTTTACATATTACGAACTGATTGCAGGTATAAAGCTGCTTGAGGGTAGCTTTTTTGTTTGCTAATTTATAAAAGTCAGAGTCTTCTATTCTAACAACAACAACCAACACATTTTGGGAATCTATAACGGCCATGGTCGACATCAGGGACTTGTATTTGTATGGTATCACAAATTTGAGCAGGAGGAAATTTTCTTTTTGAGGTTTGTAACATTTTCATTGCTTGCAGTAGAAGATTCTCTTTGGCGGCCACTCTTTTTATAGAAATAAATTTGTGTTGTTCAGTCAGGGCTTGACATGAAGATGTGGTGGGTTGCAGCTCCTCTTCAATATTTTCCTTTGGAATATGGTATTCGTTATGGCCATTACTCAAATTTCTTTTAAAAGTATTAACAATTTCTTTGAGATGTTCTTCGGTTTCAATATTTGTAATTTGTTTGCTAGGCAAAGATGACAATGCTATGCCTCTTTTTGGTTTAATGCCAAACATGGCTTCATAAGAACTTTGGCGTATTCCTTCATGATATGTAGTGTTCTTGGCAAATTGTACAAAAGGCAAACCATCTGACCATTTATTTGTATTGTTATCATTCATCCATGCAGTTAACATATTCTGTATATCCTGATTGGCCCTTTCAACTGAGCCTTGTGTTTGATTATGACAAGGCTTTCCATGAACTATCTTAACATCTTTCCACTTAGCACATAGTTTGGATATGACTTAATTACAGAATTCCCTACCATTATCTGAATGCAATATAGTTGGGGCACCAAATGTTAAAAATATTCGAAGAAGGTGATATGCTACTTCTTCAGCTGTTTTAATATTCAAAGGTAGTAGCTGGACAAATTTCGTTAAATGATCTTGATACACCATTATGAACTTATATTCGCCATCCTTGTGTGACTTGACATCTTGAGTTTAACTCCGTACTGATCATTGGTTTCACAACAATACCTTTTTTAGGTGCACTATGTTTCATTTGATATTGTTTACATAAATTTAAATACAACATTACAACTTCATATGTAATATTTATGTATTTAAATTGCAATTCTTTAAGCATGTGTGTTCTTCCTCCATGGCCTGTTCTGCTGTGAGTTTCAGATAGTATACTGAACAATTTATCATTGGTAACATAATACTGTATATTTGTTTCTCCTTGTTTTAATGGTACAATTAATTTCTCTTCTTCATTAATTTTTAAAACATCAAAACATTTTAATCATCTGTAATCATCTGTAATCCAAAGGTGTGCTGCACTTAGTTTTAGCAGAAATTACTTCAGACAGTATTTTAGAGTACTTTTCTTGAGAAAAAATAAAAACAATTGTCTTCTCATTTACTTGCAATTAATGCATATAAGTTTTCAAAAAAAAAGGTTCTTGGTTCACTGCAGTATTCATTCAATATAAATTAGGGTATCGGATAAAAAAATAAAATTTAAGAAAACATTGCATGCACCAGCAAACCTTGCATAAGACTGACAAACAGCAGTGTTCCAGAGTATAACAAATAGATACCATTTGATTTGAATCGTGGCAGAACAAAGGATTTGGTGACCGACTGTTGCCTTTCTGTTGACATTGGCTTCTTGGGTGTTGTTTCGACCTCCATCAAAGCTTATCTATGCTTCTTGACATACACCAGCGATTGTTTGAATGTATAATAATATAACCAAATATTCAGTCTTTCACCGACGTATTTTGTATGTGTCAACATTCTCTAATTTCTCTGTCTTTCACGGTAATATATATATGAAAACAAATATTAAGTTAAGAAAAAAAAGGACAATTTACAAAAGAATTCTTTTTAATGTTTATGAGAAATAGCATCACCTCGAATTTACCTCAAACATTAAATTTATCCTAGAATTTGTTTCTAAACTATATAGCCTTGGCCTCATTTGTTACACCATTCATCTCTGCAGTTATGGCATGTTGGAAGAGACTGGAGTTATTTTTTGTAATTTGGCAACTTTTTTAAAGGTTTTTCAAAGGTCTTTTTTCACAGTTTTTGACTTTTTTCATTGACTTTCTGAATGCAACTCTAACATCAACTCTTTCTGGATGAGACTATCTCCTCTTTTTTATTATTCTCCAACTTTGTGATTCTTTTCTAAGGACTAATCAATCAAGGTTGGAGTTTTGGTCAGTTGGTCCTGCTGAATCAATTAGATAATTTAGTAGTATTACCATTTTTGGAAAAAAGAAAATGGATGACACAGTCAGCTATCACCAGGGACAACAGCTAAATATTAAATGTTTACTATAATTTAATTATTTTTAAAAATCATTTTACTCATGATTTTTTTTGAATACATATGTAATTTTTTAAATTGGTATTCATGAGATACTTGAGTATCTAATTAATAGCTGCTCAGTTAAGTCTGGTACTTAAACATTCAGCACTATACAAAAATATTAATCTAAAAAGTTAGTATAATTTTATTTTTAATTATGAATTATTTCAGGATCAAATAAATAAAAAATTCTTTATAGAATGAACATCATTAATACTTTTTATTGTTTCATAACNAAGCTAAACGTTAAGATTACTATAGTTTTTAAATTAAAAAGGTCTATTTTAAAAGCAAAATGCTTAGATTTGTACAATAAAAGAACACTTATATGAAGATTAATTTGAACAAGCTAAGTAATAAAATATTCTAATTAAAACTGATATTAATATGAATTAGTTTATTATTAAAGCTAGGACATCTAGGTCCTAAAAGTCATAAATAATTAAAGATATAACTTATTTTTCATGCTTAGATGCCCTAGCCTTGTATGTTATTATCTACTGTTCTGTAGCATATGTTTCTTTTTTAAATATAAACGTATTGAATTTCTTCAGCTACTATTCATTTATTATTTAACATATTAACTTTAAGTAGCACAATTATTCACTTTTTGTTGGGATTTATATTCCAACTCCGTGTGTGATAAGTCCCAACAAAAAGTGAATAATTGTGCTACTTTACTTATTTCTAAGAAGACAAAAAGCTTATTAATTGTTATATATTAACTTCAATAATTAAGGAAAAACTGCACAAAATGTATCAAGTGTATCAACTGTTTAGAAATATTAATTTAGCATCAGATATAATCATTAATATTCTTATTCTTGACATAATTATTTATAATGGTATATTCTTTTATTATATACTTATATCTTATGTAAATGTGTAGTTTTTGTAAAAAAGTAATTAGGATAAAATACAATATAAGATTTTATGAAGTTTTGTATGATAATTTTTTTATTTAAGATAAAAAAAATAAGAACTCTGCTTACCATTCTCATTTCTGCATATGGGTCATTATTTGTAACATATTGCCTTTCAACCCACAATTAGTGCACATATGTAGTACATCAGAAACATCAATATTGTTGAACGCCATTTTCTTAACGAAGTAAACCAAATCTTTCCTTTGTGAACTTCGTTAGAGTTTCGTTCGAAACATCATCACTGCAGAGCATGCGACCTGAGCGAGACTACTACTTTTCAACTTTTGTTACTAATGCGTTTAACTCATTCAACTTAATGAATGTACCCAAGGAGAAACATTTACTATTGGTGAGGAAAAAATGCACAGTATGGACACATGTAAACAAATCATCTGGAGTGACAATATTCAACTTTGATGGTCCAAGGTTGGAGCCATTAATGACATGATTTAAGAAGGAAAGAAAGACTATATTCCAAATGACAACAAAATAGTGGCTCAGTTATGGTGTAGAGTAGATTTAGTTGGCAAGGAAGACTCCACTTGCTTTTTTACAAAGGCCTAGAAAAGCAAATGATTATCAAGACATGTTGGCAAGCAATTTCTTGCCTTTTTTTTTTTTGCAGAATGTATTGCTGGGAATTGATTGTTCTTTCAACAGGACAATGTTCCCATTTACACAATAAACTCTATGTATATATGTTTTTTAGATAATAGGGTGCCTATTATTGATTGGCCAGCTCTATCCTGATTTTAATCTGATGGAAAATCTTTGGAGAATCTGGTTAGAGATGAATACACAAATGGGCAACAATATATTAATAATAGGACATGAAGCATGAAGCTGGGCATAAAGAAACTAAAAAAAAAAAGTCATAATTTACCACTGGAAAGAAATAGGCACATCTGTCCTTGAAAATCTCATACAATCAATGTCAGACCATATTTATAAAATTATTTTGGCAAAGGGAGACTTCATTGGATGTTAGGTTATCATTGAATATAATTTATTAACAATGTAATTAATTTTTTCAGTTAATTTTGTTATGTACAGTACTTTTGGGACAGTCAAACTGATTGTGATTCTTTAAAATTGTTGTTTATTTTTCTTCTGTCTCTATAAATGGTTATCATTTTTTGTGTGTATTTGTGAAAGTTCAAGCAAGCTAAAAAATTATTTTTGCAACGGTTTCAGTGTGAATGATTTTATAAAGGCACTGACAGATTTCTATATATTTATGGGATGCACCTTATTTCTTTAGATAAAGCTCAAAGAAAAATCTGAAAGCAAGTAAATACATTAAACATGTAACTAATTAATTTAATCTGATTATTAGAAAACAACTTCCAGATTAATAAAACTTATGTAAACATTTCAGTATATCTGAGACAAAATTGAATTTCATTATTAAATAAAAAAAATCAGATTAATAAAACTTATGTAAACATTTCAGTATATCTGAGACAAAATTGAATTTCGTTATTAAATAAAAAAAATTTAAATTTAGTTTATACACTTATTGTTATTAATGTAACTATTAATAACAGTAACAAATATTTAGGGTTACAACTGATGTTCAAACTGATGGATCGTGTTCCTGATGGAATAACTCCTATGCTTCGTGATTTAGAACTACATATTGTTGACCAAGGCTTAGCAGATATGATTGCTTCTGCTGATATTATTACTCAGGTAAGTTAATAAATTCAGTTCCTTTTAAAATATTTTTATTTATTAATGATATACTAAGAGTGTAAAGAAGAATAAAATTGAGAAATTAATATAATTAAGTTTTCAAAATATTTTACTCTATTTTGAAAATTTAAAAATTGAGAGGGTATTCATTTTTTAAAGGTCAATTACTTGATAAGGCAATTGACTTTTCAAACTGAGAAATCAAATTCTCTAAAAGTTCCAAGATTTTTCTTGGAAGAATTTGACATTATCAATCTCACAAACATTAAGTTTTTGTCTAAAAAAATGAATAGGTCATCAGTGTTGTCTGATGCAGAACTATAAGACTTTCATAAGCACTTAAACAATTGATAACTTTGGCTTTAAAGAATATCTAATTTTTCATATACAGTAAAACCTGTCTATGGTGACCACATGCAGTTCCTTTCAAAAAGTGGTCTTTTAGACAGGTGGTTGTCCAAAACAGGTGGTGCTGTAATACTGTATTTCCATACATATTTTGCACACTTTTTAGACATTTCTACTAAGTAAAACTCAAGGTGAGCAAAAATAAGTGAATTTTTTCAATGATAGAGCTATAGTATATTGGTATTTTATTCTTATCGGATAACTCAGTTAACATTTTGACAGGTGCCTGTTGAATATGGGTGGTTGATTAAGCAGTTTTTACTGTATACCAAAATTCGTTACATTAGTAATTGAGGACACTGATAAAACAAATATTGGACAGTTTTATACATTCATTATTAAAATGAATGTATAAAGATGATGATGGAAAAAATTTAAAATTTGAATAAAAATTTAGAACTTGACATAAAATACAAAAAATATTTTGGATTATCTTTCTTAATTTCATTATTGATTTGTAATGTTTTTCACTTGCTATTTTTTTTAAATCTATGAAAAGCATTTTATTATTCTTTTTAAAGTATTTTATGAATTAAGATNACCAAATGAAAAAATTCTTGAAAATGAACAAACTTTTTTTAAAAAATTCATGAAAAGTAATTATATTTATTTAAAAATAACAAATTTTATATTTAAAATTCAGACCTGCATATATTTCTTTTGCTTCATCTGGAGATAATGCAGCTAAAGCAACTGATGTAGCTGTATGCTTTGCTTGATCTTCATGATTCTGTGTAGCAATTTCAGCATTTTCAGTCTTTATTTGTGTTTCATCACTTTCACTTGAATCATCACAATGTATTTTAAAAGGTTGTGTTGACTGATTAGTTTTTAAATTTAAAGCCAATACTTTTCCAGAGAGTTCGGTAGGTTTAACAGTATTCTATAAACATCCAAAATTAAAATAAAATTCTACTCAAAATAAGCCAAAAAGTATTATAAAATATAGGAATACTTGAACTAAAATCAAAAAAGGAAGGGAAAAAAGTTATTTTTTGGTCCAGTTCTTAAATTCTAACAGATTCCCAAATCAATGATAAAAAAAATTATGAAAATTCTTATCTGCAATAATAAATCAAGAGAAATCTTAACATAAAAAAATACAATTAAGAATAATCATTATTCATAAACTGATTCCATAGATAGTGTTTTCTTAGTATGAGAATAATTCAATTTTTAAAAAAACACCAGATCATCAGTTTCCTAGATAATCACAAAATGGTATATTGAAATCTTTTAGAGAAAAAAAATTATGATTATTATTTCTCTATATTTCAAACGTTGATTTTTGTCTTAAATAATATTTTGTCTACTTTGTTGAAAATAAAGTAAGAAGACATTGTTCATATAACAAAGTTTTACATCCAAATTGGCATACAGTGACATGAAGCAAAGGATGTCTCTAATATCAAACATTCACCACTGTTATTCAAATACCAGCTAATTGTGATGAAGGCATATATCTTTAATGAAAAAAGACTGGATTACGTTTGTGGAGTCATGCAGTGATACATTCTGTTCCTCTTATAAATAAAAATTACCATAATTTTGAGTGTATAGCCTGCAGAAAATTGCAAAAACAAAACTTTATAACCTATAGAGATGTTTCAAGATCATATGTCATGCGATAAAATGCACGTTGGCTCACCCATTTTCCATGTTTACGATCTAGCTTCCTCTCACTTAGTTTGCACGTGCTTGTTATTTGACAGGTTGGCAGTGCTTTTTTTCTATTTAAACTTAATAGAACTGCAGTATTTTTATATCACAAACAAAGTTAAAAAAGATGCTTTTCTGGCAAGCTATTCCCACAGTGACAGGACAAGATGCTGTTTTATATGAAGAGAAAGTTTCATTATGTCAGTGTGTCGATCCATATGAATCCAACGTTTTTCCAAAGCTGATCCATAAGAAGCCAGCATTTTCATTGTAGATCAAGAGTTATGGCCTAAAGTAGAATTTGGTAACATCATTAACTACAGTAGAGCATCGATTATCCGACTCAATTGGGGACTAGGGTTGATCGGATAATTGAAAAGTTGGATAACCGAAAAGTATGAAAAAATCCATTATTAGTGTAGTATATTATTATATCCCATGTAATTAGTATATTGCTATTGACCTACTTCGCGTTGAATTTTCCTCCATGTTAAGCCTATCAAATTTAAAAAAAAAATAATAATCATTGCTATTGTATCGTTAAAAATTAGAAAATTAAGCCTCATTTAAATACTGGCTCCCTTTCATGGTCAATCCAGTGTTGCCAGCTAAAACATGTAAAAATAATATTAAAGTAGCCAAGACATAGCCAAATATTGTAGCGCCACATCACTAGCGGACATTTGAATTTGCAGACTAGAACGCGGTCGGTTAACCAAGGTGACGGTTAATCGGGGGTCAGATAATCGATGCTCTATTGTATTTGGTTTTGACGACAAATTCTACACATTTTCACAAATGAAAGCTTATAAATACTTAGAGGCCCATAACTATGTAAGATAGTTATATTCTATATTGTATATTCTTACAAGTGGCTTGATTTCTCCTGACTATGTGTTCTTTCATAATGCTCCTGATATGCAGTTGGGTTGTAGCTATTCTCATTTCTCATGTATGATGTTGGCATCCAGATTGGTGACGACACATCATACAATGAGGAAGGTTTTCCTTTGGGGTAAAAAATTTTTCAATAATATATTATTATGACAGTACTGAAGTAACCACTCTGCTATCACCTGCTATATATTATTATGACAATTTAATATTTAAAAAGCTTATCATTATGGTACTTATATACAAGTAATATATAAGAATTTGATAGAAACAACTTGAAGGTTACTATGTAATGATTATTTGTTACTAATGTAAAAAAAATCACTGTAAAAAGTAGCATCTTAAAGAAATGCTAATGTTGCTCACCAAAATCCTAACTTATCTATTTGTAAACCAACAATGAAAATTATTGATTTATATCTTAAAAAATACACACTTTTATTTATGTAAATCAGAGTGGAAGGACAATTGGTTCAAAATGCATTTTTATTCTTCATCTGCTAAACTATAATCTTTGATTAACACTAAGATTTTCGAAGAGGATCACTTTACCGATTTGTGACAACTCTCAACTGGACATTAATACCCAGATGTGACTTTAAATCTCGGAGGTAACAGAAGGATGATTCGTAAATTGATATCCAAATATAATACAGAAATCATTTCCAATGTCTGTTGTTTAATGTTGTTTAAAGATGAATGACAGATGATTCCATGCCGTAATTTAACACCAGCCAATGAATTGATTTTAATAATGCTTAAAATAATTTATCAATTCATGAGTATTTGAATCTTGTATAAATTGTATTTATAGATGAATATATGATAAAAAAAATTTCTACATAATCTGCATTCTGTGTAATGTTTAATTTAAATTAAAGTAGCTGGAATGAAATTATTAATCATCATTACGGAATATGCAATTTTGAACAATTTTGTTTAGTATTTTTCATTTAATAGAAATCAAATGGATAGATCAAATTCACGTTACTTTTGTTGTGAACAAATTTTAAGAAGCACTTGTTTGGTGATATAAAACTTTTAATTAAAAAAAGGCAGATGGTATATTCACATTATATGAAATACAGAAGAAACTAAGATGTCTTCCTTTTCATCCTGTCCAATCACCAGTTTTCAGTTCTTGGATATTAGACAGGGCAGGAGGTCTTAGTTTTTTTCTGTCTTTTATATAATATTATATAATGATGTATGATATTCCTTTGTTCATGAGTGAACTAGCATTACACAAAAATTTGCCATAGTGATATTCATAATGAATAAACAACACAAGCTCCAATAAAAGCATGCATAAACACAAAACAAACAAATCACAAAGATAGCACTGGACAATTGTGCATGCTCATGACATCATTTGTAATGTTGACTTGAAACCTCTCTATTGTATCATATATCCTGCACCACTAGAGTGGCTATTGAAAGCAAGACAATTACCGGTATTCAGTTTAGAAGCTGTTATCTTAAGCACTAAAATATTGCTTAGCCTGTTTCATTTCTGTTCACAAATTTACAATGATTTTTTAACAGAAATTTAAATAATTTCCAACTCCATATTCCTGAACTAAGCTTGATCCACTAGCACCACTCTTCAACTGGTCTATTATTTTAAGTTTACCAGAAACATTGAGAAGAACACGTTTATGCTTAATCACCATTGCAAACAGTACAACAACTACAGTACATACAGCACGATCTATCACAAGTGACAAGTTTGGTCATGTAGGTCAGTTGGCTGGAGGAGGAAAGTGCTGCAGTGCCACAGTACTAGCGGAAATTTGAATTTGCCAACTGGAACGCTTTCAGTTAACCGATGTTTCGGTTGATCAGTATTTGGATAATTGATGCTCTACTGCAGTGGTTCCCAATTAGTTTTTCCTGCGTACCACTTCAAGAAAGAGCTCAAACTCGCGTACCCCTTATAGCAGAAATTCATATTAATCCACACTAATATTATAAATTCGAAGGTAATTCTGTCTGTCTGTTAATTTTTCACGTCTGAACCACTGAACAGGTTTTAATAAAATTTGGCACAGAGATAGCTTACATGTTGGAGATGAACATGGGCTACATTTTACTGCGAGAAAATATCTTACTCCCACAAGAAAATTCCATATAATGCGGTGCGAAGCTGTAGGTAGACAGCTAGTGATAAATAGAATAAGTTTTTTTTTTACATTTATTACCTTTAAAATACAATTTTAATAATAACGAAAATAACATAAGGTTATTTAATTTTGATGTTACAAATGTGCACGATTTTCTTTGCACAACTTTGCAAAATCTGGTTGCTTTTTGATCAGCTTTAGTCTCGAGTCATCTTCGAGTTGAAGTCGGTTACGATGTTT